GGCCCATGCCTAGTGACCGCCATTAAGAAAATAATAATAATTTATATTAATATATTAATTTAATAATACACCAGTACCAGCGTAGGTAAGTATGACAAATGGAATATTTATTTAATATTAGAAACAGCCACATGGTTTCTAACTATCGATTAGGTAGAACCACATCCCTTGTTGAGTAGCGTCAGTTTAAAGTTAATAAGGTTAACAATTCACGGAGCGGTTTCCATCCGCACCCGCCGGTGCTGCTAGACAGCGGTTTTATTTCAATACTCACGACCCTGCAAGTTTGTGCGGGCACGTAGCCGCCGCGATTGCGGGCACGAAACCGTTGCGATTGCGGAACGGACCGCGAAGTTAGCGGGAGTTATTCGCAAATCGCACGGTTAACAGAGAACGCACACCGCGTGCGCCTGCACCACTTTGCGCGTGAACCGACCGCCAAAATGCGCGGGCGACGACGGCCGCCAAGCGCGCAGGTGATCGTCGTCCTGCGCGGTTCAACTAGGACCCCACCGCGACAACCGCGAGCAACCGTCACCATTACAGGCGTAAAAGGCGCCGTGAAATGTGGTACTAATTTTATATACTTAACTATAACACTCTACAGATGCAGCGGTCCCGCGGCAGACGCGGGTGAAAACCGCTCCGTGGGTTCTTGGTGTAACGATAAATGCGTTTCAGCGCCATCTAACGTGTAATAGTTAGCTAGTACATACTAGTAGCATTTTTACTAAAATGCCACCTGATGGTGAATGGCTGAACCAGGATGAAAAAAATAGTGAAATATTGTATTATAACTCTTACTTAAGTGACAATAAGTTTAATTTTGTTAAATATTAAAACTGTGTTACGTTGTTTTCACGTTGTAAGCCCTGCCCAATCAAAAACTTTAAGTCATGGTAGTAGATAATAGAGCGTAAAGTTTGAATTACACACAAGCTAAAGAGTGGCGACATCGGTACCAGATCTTACATAGCGTCATTACATATCTCCCCTTTTTTCCTATATCTATAGTGCCGACCCGAGTACGAAACAGAGGCGCGCGAGAAGCGCGTTCAAAGCTCATCTATATCGTGTTTTACCCGCGTTTGAATCGATTGAAATGCGCGCAAAACATCGCGTTGCAAGGAAGAAGCTTACATACTCCACTGGAGTTTACACTTACAATTTCGTGTAGTCTTCATTTCAAAAACTAACTGAAATTAACAAACGAAAGTAAAATTACAAATATCTCTTACAAAAATGCGCGTCTGCGGCGCCAGTGACTTTGTAATGTGTGCAAAGGTTTACTCGATGCCACTGCATCGCGTTTGAATCGCGTTTACGTACGTCGTCGGCGCGTATAAAAAACGCCGTATGCATCGGCTATCTACCCTGACATGCTGCTGTAGCACTTATTAGTTAAAACACAGTAAAACACAGACAGGTCGCTTGCCACCAGGTGCACGTTTTGTTCGTCCCGTCACTCGGTATCATTAAAAAAAAACTTTCTGTCTATTCTTAAAATACGCGTAAAATATATAATTTTTAAATGAACATACACAATATAACATTCAAAAAGAGAAAGTTCCTTTTTTTGTTTAAACTTACATGATAGCAAAAACCGCACAAACGTTTGGCCAACCCATTATTTTTACTCTCAACAAAATTATTATTGAACTTTTTTAAAGACAACTACAACTTTATATATGTAAAACCTCTTAAGATAATAGTAGAAATCTTGTATCTAAATTATTGAGATTTTCCCAAAAAAAGAGAAAGTACAAACATATACACAATAACAATATGTTTACACACCACCAGAGGAAAATACGTGTTTGCACGAGTGCCTCCTTCCTATGTAAGGATATTAACACGTTCCCACACATTTCATAGCTATTTTTTCGGATGTTATCGAAAAAAATATCAAATACTTATGTATACATGTAAAATATTACACCTGTTCCTGTACTTAGCTTCCGTAAAAAAATAACGTTAATGTGCAAGATAAACGGCGACGGTTTTCAATTCATTTAAAATTTATTCTATTGGCCAGTAGTTCTGTCAACAGAACTAGTGGGAGAGAAAATTCTCAGCAGCTCTGTGAAGATAACTGTCTATTTGTTAACAGAACAAATGGCAAAAAATCTTGGAGGATGGAAAAAATAAAGGAAATGAGCTGCCCTCGACAATTTACGGAATAAACGTACCTATCTAAACCAAAATTGTACCACACATATGGCGTATTTAGTGTTGTGCCATAATCATAGATAAGTCAATATCGACATGCAAATGTATGGCTTAAATGTAGTTTACTGTAATCAAAGTATGATTAATAAAAGTTTAATTAAAGTAAGACCGATATTCCATTTGGGAATGTTTTATGTCATAAATATGGGAATATCCGAAAATGCACACGAGATTTTGAAGTTATTATTTTGCATCTACACATGCTTACATATTACGAAAACTGAATTTGCACAGAAAAAAAATGTAATTTGAGAGCATACAAAAAAAGAAAAAATTATAATCTAAATCTGGACATAGTTACGCATTTCCAATCTCAAGATTGATATTAAAAATAATTTTTTAAAATGTAAGCTGTTTTATATTTATGCATTGGTATAGAATTAATATCAGTGATTTTGATTTAGGCGAATTTTTAATACTTCCTTTTAATTTTTGAAATAAATATATAACAGTAGTAATATTATCGATAATCTTAAAATCACATATAATATTAATAAGACGTTTATTTGCTTAATTTGGTATAACAAAAGATGTAAAGAGACAGTACAAACATGTTGCGCATATTAAACAACCATATCTTAAACTACGACAACAATAAAAATGCCACAAGAATTGTCACAAGTTACAAATGAAATTTGCCAAGAATTATTAAAATCAAGATAAAATTTTTCATCTTATTTCCTGTCAAATAATTCATTTACGTTATAAAAAATATTTTCATTTAACCACTCACTTAATTTCATTTTAAACAAACATGAGTCTAATATTTTAAACTCGGGCTGTTCACATGTTGGTCGCTGTCAGTTTTATTTTAAGGAACTGAGAATGCCTAGTAATGAGTCATTTAATCAAAATTAAATATAAATGTATTTACCAATAAATGTAACGATGGAATTGCATTATCATGTAATCTAGTTACATTCAAAGTTCTATTAAAATTTGACTCTTCAAAATGGAGCGAACTTAAACGAAGATGATATTCGATCGAATGTTTATGTTCGGCAGTCCTATAATTTCCAACCGTTCTTTCTTTCTTTTTTCATTTGTAGGTAAACTTTAAAAATAATAATAACGAAAAAATAAAAACCTCGTAGTGAATTGTTTTAATAACAGAATATCGATAATATGTTTGCTTACAAGAACAACACTATCTCAAAATATTCCTTATCATCAATCAATCAGATACTAACAAACAGGCAACCTAAAGTAACCAAAGCAAAATTCGGCAAGACTTATGAATAAACTACTTAGATGAGTCTAGTTATCTGAGATATTTGGGCTATTGTAAGATTTATAACAGAAAAATAAAACATGCCGGTGTAATATAACATTCGGTTGATTCCCGCTTTTTCTACTGCCGCACCCCTTAATGCTGCAGTCAATATATATCAATACTTAATTGTTCTCACTGTCAATATTTTTGTCCATTTTATTACAATTCATGCAAATAATTCACTAAAACATTTGGCGTAACATTAGTTTGGACATTTGATGTAATTTCCTTGTTAAACACGGCACGCAATAGAAGAAAGACACGCAAAGACAATAAAATGTTTATGTTTTGAACGTCGGAATGCATCATAAACATATAACGTCTGGGGGCCTACTATGAGCTCTTAGAGCAATCTTATTAAAGCCTGTAAGTTGCATTGCCTGTGAAATTCATACTATAACCTCACAAAAACTATTCACTGTCCATGCAGAATACGTCCCCCATTCGAAATCCGTTCACCTTTTCTTTCATAGCAAAATCGTATCATGACGTGCCATTCGCCATGCAAATCTGTAAAAATAAGCAATTCAAAAAAATCAACTCTGTGACTACCTTTTATTAGATTTTTTTAAGAAATTTGGTTTTAATTTTATTATATTTTCAGTTTCATATTATTTGTTATCTTTTTATGCTACTATATACTATTAATTATTGAGCGTTTTTTGAAAATTTTAGTTTGACTATCCAATCTTTAAAGTATTGTTGATAAATTATTGGCATAAATGTTATTGCAATTTTAAATGGAATTTTAATCATTTTAATAATTTTATTGACCGAAAATCGAAAAAAAAACATTAAAATAGTGCCAAATTTGACTTTGTTGCAATCAATGAAAATGTACGAATACAACATACGTTCCAATATATTATCAAATTACTAACTCAACTCATTAATTTCAATAATAATGACTAAACATGATATGTAATTTTGTTTATATATGTCAATATAACATGTCCTTTGGTGTCCATAGTCTAAGGAAAAAAAACCAGTAGTTTTGTCAACAGAACTGTACAACAAAACTAGTGGGAATAAACGAAGTGTCCGTTGTCGATTCGCCATTGACGCGTCCAGCAACGTCGTCGACAAGAGTCGACGGCGGCGGCGCACATCACTAATATTTCGAACAACAAAATTAGACACTAATTCTAAGATTCCCCTTTTATTCTCCTTCCAATTTTTTTCATACTTTATTCTACAATAGTTTAAAATATATAGTGTAATCCTTGGAATAATAACGCATAGAAACCTAGTCCGCACACGCTAAGTGAGGCAAATTGAAGCGCTCCCAAAGAGCCTATACGAGCGGGCGGGCCGTCAGTGCTCAAGGTCAACTTGCACCTTGAACAGCTCAAGAGTTTTAGCTAAAAATGACGAAATGTGCGGTAAATGAGTGTAAAAATACGTCAGACAAACATAAAATAGATACTAACATCACATTCCACAAGGAAGTAAGGCGTTTCAACTTGTATTTTTATATAAATATTCACTAAAACCGAAAATTAACCTACTACTAAAACTAGCCTACATGAATTTGAATTTTGCCTCACTTGTGACAGTTCGTTTGATATGAAACTATCATTCTGTGCGTTATTATTCTAAGGTGTAATCGTTATACTATTTACAATACGTGCAAAATAATTATTTTTCTACACTGCGATTCAGGTTTGTGTAAGAATAAATACAGGTTAGTATCTAGCTTGCATTTCACAAATGAAAGGATTAAGTTCTCCACAACTAATGTATAGAGTATATAAACTGTTATACTGAGAACTACTTTCTTTACTTAGTACTCCACACTTCAAAGGTGGTGATGGTAGTTTTGCCGATGCATACCGCGATGTTGTCGGTGACCATCTATTGTAAGACTTTTCTGGCGTCTGCGACAGTGGTGGCGGCGGTGGCTTTTTATTGTAAGAGTCTTCTAAGTTTTTACCTGAAAGATTTCATACACAATTTTAATATAATAGATAAAAATAAAATTATTATCATTGTGCATAAAGAACGATTGAAGGCTATATATAATAGCTGGGGTATTGTATTTTTTTACCGTCTGTGCTACATGCAATGATTTTTTTTGTATGAATGAATATCATGGTTCACAACACAACAACTATGGATTAACTATGGATTTATCAAATGGCGGGTTTTTGATTTTTTTTTATCAACAGATGGCCGCTTAACATTCTTCCATAGATAATATTCTTCCATAGGTAATACAACTTGAAACTAAAATGTTATAAAAAGCAAATACGCATACAGCCATGTATCTGAAAAAAAGTGCAAAATTTTTATACAGAAAAAAATTAAAATCAAGTGTTTTTCCACCTTAGTACTTTCATAGATTTCTCATAGGTGGTGCTATGGCTAAAAAGTCGTTAAAAAGCAGATACAAAGAGCCGACAACAAGCATATAGAAAAATTCGTGAGGTCAGGTAGTATTTATATGGCCTGGGGTTCCGTGGCTTAGTCTGACACAGTTTGCTAGGAGACGTCGGTTGGAATTTGGCCGGATCGAAGAAATTTTTTCTAATTGTTCGATCTTTGTGTTAATAATTATAATTAAAATCAATTAAAAGAAATTCTTAATAATAATATTTAAGTAGAATGTGACTGAGTTAAATTAAATTTCTATTTAGATAGCATTTCAAGCGAATGTTTTAATTTTAGTACTTTTAATAGTACCCTCCCTGTTAGTATGTCGTGCCACAAATTAAAAAAACCTCCTTCCCGGTCATGGCTGTAATGGGAAGAGAAAAGTCCAAGGGTATTATTTGGGGCATTAAAGACAAGTTAGCCACCATGCAATCATACTATATTTACGAGCAAGTGTGATGAAAATGTTACTTATCGACCTATATAGAATATTTGAGTGACCACGAGTTTTTGGATTTTAATTTTCATAAGCATTTAATATTTTTTTTAACAGATACAGGACCATTGCAGAAGGTTCTAATACTATAATATTGTATTTGGCCATAGTTACCTTTTAAAGTGTAATACTTGTCAGAGATTTTCCGGAAGCCCGAATGGAACTTTTGGTCATTTTCTGGGGAATGAGGTAACATTCCAATGATTGCATTGGCCTCCTTGTCGCTTTCTACAACTACTAGAAGACCTCCTTCTATGTAACACGTTTGCATTGCATCCTTCCAAGATTTTCTTCTTGTGTTGACTTTGTAACATTTTTTGGTATCTTCATTATATATATAGCCTGCAATCAGAATAATATAAAACTTAGATATACATTAGATATACGTACGTACGTGACGATGAAGACATCAGAAATGCGGAAATTTTGCCACGTCGATGTTTCTGTGCCCTTATAAATGATAGTTCTAAATGATGATTAGATGTAAACGATGGTTACGCCGAAATGGTATTTTCATTTAACCTCGCGAAATGTAAACGCTTTCATATTTGAATTGTTTGATTGGATCAATTATTACATCCTTGTTCCCTTTCCCTCACATACCTTACTCGCATGCAAGAGCAAGACGACGTCACCCAAATGGTGACACCTAGAGGATGAAAAAGAAAACACTCGCTCCGCCTCAGTTGCTCTTTCGCCGACGAATGCAATGGCAGCGGGCGCAACCGCCTTCGTTAATTTATTGTGAAATATCAAACAATATTGAAGAATATTGGAGCAATATTGAACGTACGCTTTGATGAACATGTAACATCAAGAATCGCTCCCTGGGTGAGGCGAGGAGCCAAGATAACTAACTCTACTCACCTCAATTAACCATATTTATTTATTTATATACAGTCCACAAATCAAAGGAAGCCATAAGCCATCGTTTGCAGTCCCCGCATAGTTGGCCGGCTTGGGCTACTAACTAACTCGCGCCACCATTATTATTTAAAATATGTAGTCTCGTAGCGTCAAAACCTTTGAAAACTTGGACCTCATTTTGTGATACCTTTATAACGCTGACCAATTATAGGTACAAGGCAACAGTTAAAACTTTCGGTGAAACATCTATACGGAATACGTGCGCGCACGTAAAACGTCTCATATTGACCGTGGCTGCTCGCCGTTTACAAAATATTCGTGTTTAAATCATTTTTAACCGACTGGAAAAAAAACGGAGGCGGTTATACGTCTGGTTGTATGTATGTTTTCCGATTTCTCCATCAGTTGTAGACTCGTGGTGGTCCGATTGTCACCAAGTCAGAGTTTGATTAGGGGATCCCATATGAATCGATAAAAATCCCCAAATTTTATAGGCATTTCAGTGTTCTCACCGATTACTTAGTCAATTGTGGACCGATTTTAAAAACTTTTTTGTTCTTAATGTATTTTGAATCAGAACGTTGTCAAGAAAAGAAAAAATAACTTATAACACGAATGCTTAGCGTTTAAAATAAAAACCTATCAATTGTCGGAGTACCGCATTATAAATCAATTTAATTAGTCACAATACAATACCTTTGTCGATAGTAGGGCAGGGTGAATCGTCAATTTTCTTACAGACGAAAAATCTGCGACTAGTCTCGACTTCGCAGACACTTGCTTTTAATACACCCGTATTCCGATCCATTACTACGCAGTCCAAATGTGATAGAGCGTCTTTTACAATCGATGTCACGATATGACCTTAAATTGAAAGGTAACTGTAAGTAATTGGTTTTTGTAGCTAACAATTTTAATTTTATGTTTAATGCCACTGAAAACATGTCAAGTGCCCAGCCCGCATTGGACCAGCCTTAACGATCTTCGTAGAGGAGACCCATGTCTAGCTGTGGGATTTAATACTTGAAACACTTCTGCGGGGGTGGGCACAATGACTCACGAACGAATTAATCGAATCGTTTATATAATATATAAAATGTCTTAAGATTGGATACCACCTCAGCACGAATTTTTCCCCTAATAATGCGGTTTATTTTGCTTAGGTTGAGCGGTAGGGACATTGGCTTTATTTCAGAATTAATTTTTTTACAAACGTAATTATAGCCATTGGAAAAATGTATATGGTCTACCTAATAACAATAATAACGCACTCACACAACACAGCCCCGCACTAGGAAACCCTGTGTCGCGGTTGACATGGACACACATAGACAACCACAAATTACACCCAAACTCACGAGAGAAATAAATGTAGGCCATACAAATATTTTTCCCGGCCCGGGAATCGAACCTGAGATTTGTACGTGGCAGTTCAGCATGGTAACCGTTCGGCCACCGAGGCAGTTAAAAAGTAGTATACTATACGTGTTATATTTAGTTCAGTTAATGTAAAAAAAAATCTTTGGTATATATGTAAAGTACTTATTGAAAATTTCGAGGCAAGTTTGTGTTTTTTGCACACTGTATACTAATCAGTGTATATCATCAATTTTACTATTTTTTTTTTTCCTTAGCAATTCACTCAACTCTGTCACTGATATGCGAAATCAACCAAACCCATTTGAGATTGTACCGACTCCTAAAAAGTCAGTCAAATTCAGATCATACCATCAACGGTAAAGTGTTGTCCGTTAACACCTTCGTCTCGTATGCCGACTAAGATGTCAGTGATATTAGGCGCATTAGGCATATCTTCTATTAAATTATTTATTATTTTCCATTCGTCGTTGTCCTTTGGATAAAATAATTGAGACCCATCGTTATCGCAAGCCATAAAGGCCGTTTCAAAGGAATTTTCCTCTTCAGAAACTATGACCTTGTAAAATGCATCACGTTCTTTGTTGTAAGTATAATCCTTCCGAAAGAAGTTAACGGAAAGTGCGGCACTCAGTCCTGAAAAAAGACGTAATTGTAGTATAGAATAAGTAAAATATCTTAGTGACATGTGTTAATCCGTATTTTTCCATCCTCTCAGGTAGTACCACACAATATACACTGTGACACTGTATAGTAAATTGGAATATGCTTCCTAAATCTGGAGGCCGAGATACGAAGTCTATATCGACAGAATTGAACGAATGCATTGAATTAAATTTTTATGCTATAAAATGAGCAAGTCTTATAATTCATGCGACTAACCACTATAAGGATCTGAATCTATTACCACTAAATATTCGCCGAAAAATCTTTGATATAGCGTATATTCTAAACATTATAAATGATATTGTCGACTGCTTTGACTTACTGGGTGATATTTCGTTTAATGTATCTACGCGTTCTATGAGACACTATCATCGTATTGCAGTTATCTTAGCGAGGAATAACTATAGACAAAATAGTTTTCTATGTAGAGCTAGAAAGAGCTTGGATAGTGTGCTGATCAATCATGACCTGGATGTTGATATATCTGATTGTAATGTTGATGCGCTAAAGCGTAAGCTCATGGACATTCTATTTAATTTTATTAAATTATTTGTGATTAGCGCAGGTATTGGGTTGTTATATTTATGTAAGTGCATGTTGTTAAGAAATACTGTTTATTGTTCGTTTGTTTAATGCTCGTGTACGATTTGTCTGAAGCTATAGGTGGAAACCTGTAATTGGCTTTATGTTTATTTTCCTGTTTTTAATAAATGTAAGAAGCTGTCGGTTTTCTATGAATAAATAAATAAATAAATCGGCTCATCCGAAGAACAAAGTGCGATGTGATTATACAGCGAAAAGAGGTTAAAAATATAATCTCGTTATTCAAAAGGCCTATATAAATGTGTTTTCAGATTTTATATGTATTTATTATTTGTTTCAGAAATATAAAATCGAACTACACTCGATCTTGAATGTGGATATCCACAGCCAAGAACAACGAACGAAATGTACAATGTCCCGAGAATAAGCATCATCTTGCACATAGGTCTTTGTTCTACGGATGAGTCATCATACAAAATGCGTTTCATAGATTTCTCACATGTGGCAAAAATAGCTGTGGAAAACCAAAATCTCTCAAAAAATCTGTAACAAACGCATAGATAAATTCTCTGATTTGATATGTAGCTCAGTTGGTAGAGCGGTTGCTCTAGATTAGCAAAAATCAACGCAGGTTCGAGTCCTGTCACATCAAAGGAGATTTTCTTTGTATTCTACATTGTATACATATTATCTGTTATAAGAAACTAGTGGAGAAATTCACAAAAAAAATTATTAATATGATGGTACAATCAGAATTCCATGCATTTTTCTGATGCAGTTGCTAGCGAAAATCCAATTTTAGTAATTAATCGACACTAATGAGACTCACCGTATCTTTAGCGCCGACATTAGACGGCGCTAAAGAGAAGATGACTGTTTTCTTCATGAAATTCCCTATTCGAATATCATAGTCTATTCTGAGGCGTTGAATTTATTTTGTAAACATTTTTTGCTCCACCATTAAACTTGTCAACTTAATTGCACTTCATTACAACTCATTCGTACTCAACTAACACCATAACCATTAAGTTCTCACATTCAAGCGTCTGTCACATACATTATATACTTTGAAACCGATCACAAGCTTCACAACGCAAATGTTTATATTACTATTAATATTACAATTTATAAAGCGACATCTCTTGTCAAACTCCGCTATCTGTAAGGTCAGGTACTTTAACTTTAGTTGAGTGAGGAAAAACTTTCATAGCTTTCTTACAGGTGGCGCTACGGTAAAAATAGCCGTGTAAAACCAAAAACAAAGTCCTGTAACAAACGCATGGAAAGATTTGTAAGGTCCGCTGACTCGATTTGTATTCAGCTGGTAGAGCGATTACATTGCCATAGATTGGCAAAAACAGATGAAGTTTCGAGTCTTCGTTCGTTTCGAGTTTCGAGTCGAGAGTATACATAGGGCGCACTATAAGTTTCCGGAACTGGCCACTTACGTAAACAATATTTAAAAAAGTAATTACAACATTTGAAAATGAAACTCTTTGGCTGTAGAATACAGTTTGTTTCATCTGACTGTCACTTGTTTTTATATTGTGGCGTCATTTTAGAAATTGGTTCTCTCGTGACAATTCTCGTACTCAATCTCTCGTATTCAATTCTCGAACTCGTGAAAATTTTCGTAGTATGATTTTCTACGACTTTAAGTGTAATTTAACAGCTCAGCAGAGCTTCCCTCGGCTTCAAATTGCTTTTGGCGATGAAGCACTGTGCAAGACGACTATTTATAGCTGGTTTGCAGAATAAAACGCAGTCGTGTGAATCTTAGTGACGAATTTCGTAATGGTCGCCCGTCCACTACTATGAACAACAAAAACATCGATGCTGTGCACCATATGATCAAAACAGACAGGCATGTGACATACCATGAGATTCGGGCATCTTTAGACATAGACATGAGTCAAATACAATCAATACTACACAAACATTTGTGTGTGAAAAAGCGTTGCTCTCGGTGGATCCCACACAATTTGACAAAAGCTCAAAGAAAAAACGGATCGCGTCTCTTGGTGCAATGTCATGCTTACCAGATTCAACGAAGGGGCGTCAAATTTGGTGTGAGACATAGTAACAAGTGACGAAACATGAATTTATAGTTACGATCCCAAAACAAAGCTGTAATCGAGCGTATGGGTCTTTCGAGATGAGCCGAAACCAACCAAAGTGGCGCGCGTGCGAAGTGCCTCTAAGCGGATGATTGCTTCTTTTTTAATAAAACTGGACACGTGGCTACTGTTGCTTTGGAGAATCGTTGTACCGTGAATAGTGATTGGTACACGACCATTTGATTGTCGGAAGTTATTGACAAACTCCGTAAAAATAACCGTAAACGCCGTATCATCTTGCAACACGATAATGCCGGTTCTCACACGGCAAGACTGACAAATTAAATTTTTGGAGGTGAACAACGTTGACCTTATGAACCATCCCGCGTACAGTCCCGACCTGGCACCTTGTGGCTGGTATTTGTTTCCAAAAATTAAGATCCAGTTACGCGGTCAACAATTTTCATCACCTGAAGAGGCTGTCGAAGAGTTTGAAAAATATGTTTTAAGGATTGTCACGGAGGAGTGGCATAAATGTTTTCAAAATTGGTTCATTCGTATGAAAAAGTGCATTAACGCTAACGGAGAATATTCTGCGAAACAATAAATTCATTTCTGACCATTTATACTATTTTGTTCTTATTGATTCCGGAAACTTATAGTGCGCCTCACGTATAACAATTTGTTTTTTTTTTTATTTCCGCCCAGATTTATAGTGAGTTTTCCGTAGTAAACGTTTTTCGACTTTGTGAGTAGCCTCTAATTACCTTACCTTGACTATAACTATAAGGGCGCATTTATTCGATACGAATTTCATCGCGGTCATCCCTCGCGGCCGCCGCGCAGTCGAAGAGCGGCGTCCGCGTTACGGCCACGCAGCGACCGCGTGCGTCTGTCATGGCAAAACACGCTCTATTTGTTTAGCTTTTACGTTTTAACTTAAATGAACGTCTCTGGCACGCGGGCGAGACTGACTTGAATTTGGTCGACGAGGCTACCGCGCGGCCCCCGAGCGGAGTCCGCGGCGGCCACGCGGTTGTATTATTCTGAGGAATTTAAATATTGTTGCCTAGTAAATAGAATTCAGATTCGCCATTAATGTACATGTAGTCGTGGTAATTGGGCGGTCACCTCGCGACGGCCGCGTGAAAACTTTCGCCTCGTGTAACTGGGCACTAAGTGTTCCCTTAAAAGTATGTCGAGAGCACGTCAAGCTTGACACTTAAGATTTAAATCCAACTCTTTTTTTTTTCTTTTTTAATTTATTGTACCTGTATGCCGCTTTCAATAAGAACGGTCCAAAATTCAAAGTGTCAAGTACATATACGAGTATAATAAAAACTATTAGAGGTTAAGGAATTAAGTTACTGCTCGAGACATTTTGAAATTAAAATAAAGTTCTAGAAAAAGATATAAATTAAAATTATTTCTAATGAAATCTTAATACTTCTAAATTAAAGAGATTTAGCGTTAATCGTGTTTTCGTTTTGTTTAATTCTGTATTTGCTATTAAACTAAACATGGATATTCGACAAGAACATGGACATAGCTAAAATTCGTGTTATTTTTAAATACGAATTCGGACGTGATACTAGGGGAGTCACTCCGTCGCCTCATAACGCCGTCGACGCGACCGTTCGAGCGCCGACATTCGTAGGAAGCAGATTCGTCATTGGATGTGTGTCGAGCCTACAGATATATATTTAAACGTCTACTTCGCGTACCTAATGTAAGCTATAAACGCCTAGTTGCCGCTGCTATGTTTTAAAACACGCTAGGCCGTACTATAACTACGATAACGACCAGCTAGTTGTGCAATGCGCAACGTGAAGTGAGCGTGCCTACAACACCGATACCTATCTGAAAAATAGGGAAGGTACAGTACTTGCACCCGGGGCGGCTCACCGGAGGCACTAGCCTCTCGAAGAACCGGATGAAGCCAAGTGACAGAGGTCTGTGACAACCCTGTACACTGGCTGATCTGGGGTCAGAACCTGAACTAAGGTTAAGATTATAAGGTTCCTGTGCGCGCATATGTTATAGTACCCTTCTCGTATACCTTTAGGGTCGGTATGGAGGGTCACTATAATCAAAACTAATATAGAAAGATACGGGGCTGTACATTGGTTTACTGATTCCGCAGTGAAATTTTATCCTGGCAAAGAAACCTCGTGAACAACCAAAGTTTAAGGTGAATAATGGATAGTTATGAGTTGGACTCGATCCATTGCAAACTATGGTGGAATCTGCTGCATGGTTTTATATAGCTATGCCCACAACACTGATTAATAATTCCACATTGTTAAATTATACCAAAATGTAATACTTGACCAAGATTTTCCGAAAACACGAATGGAATTTTTGTCTGTTTCTGAAAATTCTGATAATATTCTATTGGTTACATTGGCCTCTATGTCGTTTCTAGAAATACTAGAAGACCTCCTACCATCTAACAAGTTTGCATTGAATCCTTCCATGAATTTCTTCTTTCATATTGGTAATAAGAAACTAGAAAACTGAGTCGTCTTCATAAAACTCAAATTCATTTAAGAGGCAATGTATACGCTTCTATAATAAGATTCAAAATATGCCATTTACGAGGTTAAAACTATTATGAAGCAAAAACTTTATACTATAGGTTATTTATTATACAACTTCTGTTTGTAGTGACCCGTTCAGCTCTTTCATGTATTCTCGGTCTCAGATGTTTAAATTAAATATTGTAATGTTGTATATTTAAGTTAAAGCAAATGTTATTTACAAAGAGCAACCCCTAGAGTTTCTTTATTTATTTATTTACACTTACATAATAAGCTAACAGCTATACAGCCAACACGCTTACATGCTACACAATGTCAAAATTCACAAAATTATTACAGTCAATCAAAAATTATTATAGATGAATTATTATTATGTCAATTATACAATAATGTTTCTTAATCTTATTCTATGAACTTACTCATCTCTCTACATATATACTGCACGCGATCAGCAAATAAGTCAACATGACTACACCGAGCGAGTATGTCCCCAATCAGGAGTATTGCACGAACGGTAGGTGCGTTGGCACCATAAAGTGTGCGCGTGACCGGCTTGCGCAAGAGCTGAGGTTGGCGGCGCGGGGCCACCACCCCCTCCCCAACCCCCACCCAAGGCATACGCACGGGCACCAGTAGATCCACTCTACAAATCACATCATCATCTATCTTATGGTGGAATGCAGAAATGAAATATGCCAGGAGGAGCATCTTTCGCCTCCTAGACAGCAAGTTAAGTTCCACCATACCTGTAACAAATAGCGAGGGATACAGGTATGGGTAATACCCGTATTGCTGTCGATAGAGCCACCGTGCAAATTTACGTTGAACGCGTTCAACCATGGTGGAGTATTTGTCCTCGTGGGGGTCCCAGATTATAGCAGCGTATTCAAGTGTACTGCGTACGTAAGCATTATATAGTACCTTGGCCACAACTACATCATTAAATTCATATGAAGTCCGTATAATAAAGCCTAAGGTTTTATTCGCCTTTTTACAGGTTTCTATCACATGTTTGTGAAAGTCTAATTTACTATCTATTATTAATCCTAAGTCACAAATGTCATAAAATCTATCTATGCAGGCGTCAAATAATTTATAAATTTGCAAACTTGGGTAACGTTTACGGGTGTAAGTAATAACTTTACATTTAGAGTTATTAAAGGGCATACGATTAGCTACACTCCATTCACCCACCGCATCAATATCCGCTTGCAAGGCTGCTGTATCCACACTATCCCTCACACCCAGGAACAGCTTAAGATCATCAGCAAATAAAAGACATCGAGCATTACGAATGGTATCGGGCAAGTCATTAATCATTATTAAAAATAGAGTTGGGCCTAACGTACTTCCTTGACTTACGCCAGACCTTGTGTAGTATTCTGTAGACGTAAACCCTTGCACTTTAACGAACTGTCGTCTATTCGCGAGATAGCTGGCAAAAAACCGTAGGAGCTTAGGTGTACAGCCCAATAACGCCAATTTCCCCAACAGCACGTCATTGTCCACCAGGTCGAATGCCTTTTTAAAATCGAAGTATGCTGCGTCAACCTGGCGACCTGCATCCATCTCTGCCGATACGTAGTCCACCAACGCAACCAAATTTGTAGTAGTAGAACGAGCTCTGCGAAAGCCATGTTGACTATTGTGCAGCAGACCATCCACTTGCCCACAAATGTGCCTATTAACGATAGACTCAAAGATTTTTGCAAACACTGATAGTACCGCGATAGGTCTGTACTGCGTTACGTCACCCCTTGCATCTCCTTTCGGTACTGGCGTTACACACGATAGCTTCCAGCACTGCGGGTACATCGAAGAGTCAAGACAAAGGCCATAGATGTAGATCAGTGGAGCCCGAAAAGCTGACACACAATCTTTTGCTAGAAACATTGGCACTCCATCCGGACCCCCCGCAGTTTGAGGTTTTAGACGCTTTACAGCAGTTATAACATCAGTCTCACTCACATCTAACACAGCAATAACCCTAGCACCTACTTGTGAATGAGCAGCGCGAGCAGCTTCTTCAGGGTCCAAGTGCGGCTGGTTCAATTGGAAAACTGAGCCGAAATATCGGGCAAAAGCGTCGGCAGCAGCCTGCCCAGCCACTTCACCTTCGTCATAGGAAAAGACATCAACACCTCGCCTATCCTTTCGCTTGTCTTTGACATATCTCCAGAATTTAGCTGGTTCATCAAAAATACTTTTTTGCAAATTATTTATATTTTGCCGGTACGCATCACTTATCAATTTTTTAACGTGCCATCTATAGTATTTATACATTTCCCTATCTTTTCCCTTCTTAAGATGAAAGTGTTTATGTTTTAGATTACGTATAATTTCTGGAGTGTACCATTTTGGGTATACATATCGCGTATCACGTTGTACACGCTTTTTGATTGGTACAAATCGATTAAAACATTCGTATATTTTTTGGTAGAAAAAGTCAACAGCCCTATCAGGATGACAAATTTCAAACAGTTCAGTCCAGTCTATCTCAGCTAAAGCGGCATACAAGGATTGAAAGTCCGCTTTACGCCAGTTCCATTCATGAGACCCATCCTGTTGTTTAGGTGCGTCTAGGTGAGGAGACAGCGGGGGCCCAACGTCACGCTGCAAGCTTACGGTCAATTCAAGTGAGGGATGGTGTTTATCTATAGGTACTAGGGGCTCACTAGTAGCTGTGACACTAACCTGTTTGGGGGCAATATCACTCAGTATTAAGTCTAAATATCGGCCATTAATATTAAGCACTTCGTTATGATTTTTTAATTTACAAAATTCACAGAAACAATTAAATTGTGCTGCTATGGTTTTTGAGAATGAATTTAAATTAAAGTCTCCTAAAACTAAAACTTCAAAGTCCGGGTATGAACAGATTGCATTTTCGATACACGTTAAAGTATTCAAATAATATTCATCACTACTATCAGGGGAAATATACACAACACAACATAACAATTTAGTGTTGTTGCACTTGATAGTGGCAAATAATAGTTCCTTGTCTGGTGTTAGACCATTAATATCTGTGATCATGCGTACAGAGTAACAATCGCGCACTGCCAGCAACACTCCACCCCAACCAGCTTCGCACTTTCGATCATCGCGAATCACTACATATCCAGGTGGAAAAAGTTCTCCATTGGTCACCGAACTAGTTAGAAAGGTCTCTGTCAAAGCGATTATGTCGTATTTCGATTGCATCACATTATTTTTAAAGACAATGGTCTTAGTACGCAGACCGCGTACGTTCTGGTAGTAACAATGGTAAGTCTTGAGTTTGTCACTTCTTTCCCTGAAAGTTGCGAAAATATTGTCGCCACGGCTTGACACAAATGTCTACAGCCCAATTCTCCGGACTCAAGATAAGATCAGTTAGCTCTGGTGGTACTGCAAGCTTAAACGAAGCGTAATTTCCTCGCGCTTTTAGCGCTTCAACCGTACAAGCGTCACTTCCACATATTTCTTTGAGATGGGCATTTACCTGTTCGACAGTAGTACCCACCTTAACGTAATAGAGATGTAGATATGTTCTCTTTTCAGCAGCACTTAGTAGCGTAGCCCCAGGAGCAGCAGAACCTCGCAGCACACCGGGCAATGACACTCGGGCTGATAACGACGGCTTTCGGCGTCTTACCTCTGTCCATTCGCCTATGCCATCGTTGCTCACCGGATCCGCGGATTTGACTGCCGAAGCATAATCAGATTTAGCAGTGGGCGTAGATGTGGATGTGGGTGTTGACACGTTTTGCCGCTGTTGCTTTCGATTTTCCCTTCGGGCAGGTAGTGTTTGCCGGTCAATATCATTTATTTTGGGCTTAGCCGCCACAGTGGTGTTTTTAGAAGGTTTATCCTTTTTAGTCACCTTACTTGCTGTGGCATACCCATTTATTGTCCTCTGTAATTCATCTACTCTATTCGATAGACAATTCACTCTCTCTAACAAATCGATTTTGAGAGAGTTAAAGTGCTCAAAAAATAGTTTGCTAATTTTTAGTGTTAGGCGTTCTTCAAACTCAACTTGTGCTTCTCTCAATGCTTTTACAATGGATAGTTGAGGTGTTTGTAGCGGACAATTCATGCCATCGTTATCACTAGATTGTCCATAACGTCTCCCAGTACGTACAGTGACATTATCGGGGCTAGAATTTGAAAAATCATGGCAATCCCTAGTGGTACTATCCTGCATAAAGTACTGGCGAACAGGGGTATTTGAGTTATCGCCTTTTGGAATTTTACTTCGGCATTCAACACAAACCCAAGACAGTTTGATTTCAGGTGAAAGTGCATCATACGCATCCTCTGTATAATTCGCACATAAAAGTTCATAAGTCAGTTTGCATTTGACGCATGACATAAAAGGATCCCCAGTGTTTATTGCACTTTGGCATCCTGCACAGCTTAAAGTTGTTTTTCGCGTAGTCATCCTTACGTTGGGTTGGTTTACAACTCGTTATTTTGTAGCTAGGCTCTCACGCACAAACAATATTCTTGTCCAGGAAGACCAGATAACAATTCGATTCGGACCACTGTTTCTGTTGGTCAATAATACGATTCGGACCGCTTCTGTCACTGGGCGTATAGTAATTTGGCCTCTGCGTGAAACGGATCAGAAATCACACGAACGCAGCTGTAGTCAAATATGTATGCTGGCAACACTGGTTACTTGTCAGACAAGTTTACGCCCATAAATGTCAAACATCCAATCAGCTGATTTCTAATTTACAGGTTATCATTGATTTGTGGTGTTGATGTGATGTTAAATTCAAATTTTATAGATCAACTGTTATTTTCGTCGTACCTTTAGTTGATTGTGATGTGAATCCGGTGTCTCCAAACCACGAAAACGCTTGTGCTTTTCAACCAACTCGTTCGCACTATGTATATGTTGTTCTCGTAAGTAAAACACTGTGTTTTCCAAAATAAATCTTTATAAAATTAGCAAGGGGTTGTTACCAGTATACGGACTACGTTCCGTTTTCAATTTGTCAATTCTTGCTCATTCTTCTCAGGGGAATCTGCCTTACGAATGAGCAGTAGAGTTTAATTTGTGCATTGTGACGATTTCAAGTGTAATAATGCTTACCTATGAAATAAAGATTATTTGACTTTGACATGGTCGTCGAGTACCATTATTGTCCCAACTACAACGGCTAACGCTCGTTGGAACTTGCACGATGACCCAGAGATGACGGAATAAGATCGCATCCTTAATTGTAATTAATAATTTATTTCATAATAAGTGAAAATTCTGACAGATGTTAAATCTGGGTCCATTTTTTTCATCCTCTAAGGTTCACTCTAAGATCATGATAGTTGACAGATCACAACATCTTACAACAAAAAATCTGGTTGTAAGAATTCAGTCCATTCTTAGAAATACCTTGGATGCATCGTAAAAGACCAATGTGATCAAAGCATAGAGATCAAATATCGGATAGAACAAGCATGTAACGCATTCCTAAAATTGATTTACCTACCCAGCCACCAAACCTTGGAGATCTCACGTTGCTACGTGTTTTCGGTTCTTCTGTATGGCGTAGAGTCCTGGACCTTAACTCAAAATATAAGCAACCCCTTAGAAGACTTTGAAATGTGGGCCTACAGAAGAATTTTAAAAATATCGTGGTCGAATAGAGTGTCCAATGAAAGAGTATTTCTTATGGTTAATTAGAAATTATAGGTCTTGAGTACTGTCAAAAAACGCAAAATACAGTACTTTGGTCATACAATGCGTAATATAATAATACGACCTACTCTGGCTTATTATGCAAGGGAAGATACAGGGAAAGCGACCACCTGGAAAAAGGCGTACTTCGAGGCTTAAGAATCTTCGGACATAGTTCAACCTGAGCACAAGATCCTTGTTCCGTGTAGCTGTGTCTAAAATACAGATAGCCCTAATGATAGCCGACCTCCGGTAGGAGATCTCAAGAAGAAGTAGAAGAAGAAGAAGGTTCACTAACATCTTCTATATTTCTATATAATTGTATATGGAGATAAATATCAATGAAACACTTACCAGTTATAATTATAAAAACCTTTAAAATCATTTCTTTTGATTATTTTATTGGACACTTTGAATTGGATACTGAACACAAAATGAATGATAGTTCCACAGGAGACTTATATTTATACTATACCTCTTATCAGTTAGCGTATCCCTTTATACGCTAACTGATAAGAGGTATAGTATAAAAGGGTACTGTTCATATATCTATAGGTGTAACTTTACGGAGGTGTCTTCAGGCCTCAAAGTGAATAGTTATTTTGAGTATTCGTCATGTAGAGAAATTTTAAAGAACTAAGTTGTTCTGCCGATGCGAACTTCATTCAAATTATTGGATTATGTGAAAATCTTCTTAGATAACGTCTGGCATTTTGTAGTTTGATATAAATTAAAATAATATATGAGCGATAAAACTTTTTATTTTATAAAATTGTAATACAATAACTTTGACAACGTTAGTTAAAACAGTTCCGAAGTTTACCGCTAGATGGCATTGGCATAGAAAACGCAATTTCTGAATATCGGTATTAAGATTTTCCCTAAGTTAATCATCTCTTCTCTTACAGGTGTTTGTAACAATAGTTCGAATGTTTATCACTAGATGGCATTGGCACAGACAACGCAATTTCTCAATCGCGGTGTTAAGATTTTCCTTAATGTAATAACCTGTCATTAGTATCCCATCTTTCAGGACAGGTTAAGAGAACACCTCTAAGTGAATGCCGTTTTGTGAGATTCGCACCCACCGGGACTTGTCGCGGACTCTGCGCCGCTTACATCCAATGAGACGAATCCCTTTACCCTTTTGTAAGCTGCTGTACAATAAACCAAGTCTTCTTCACCGAATTCCGTCGTTTGATTCCTGGACGTAGTAAGGGGGCACCGAGCCGAGGGAGCCGAGCAAATCTCTATCACCCTCTACACTCCCTCCTACTCCAGAATTTAATATTTTTCCTAGAGTCATGTATTTTCAACATCTATTGAAGATAGGAAATGAAGCTATTTGCGATTTAAATCGCATATATTTCGGTTTCAAACAAGCCGACTTTTCATTTCCTATGTGTAACAATCGCGAAAACCTAAGAACTCGATATCTATTGAAAATGTTTAATTTATGTTAATGCTCATCCTAAATATTATTTGGGGGCCTTTTCATAGAAAATTGAAAGAAATTTAGCCCATGCAAACACGAAGGCGGTTTGATAAGGCCATAACTTTGAGAAGAAAAAAAAACATTTTTTTTAATTATGTTTCATTTTTCTACGTTTAACTCTATACACACCTTGACCAGCGATATCCCAACTTATTCAACCCATAAAAAAACCATTTTTTTTGTCAAAGTGAAAATTAAGTTAATTTGCTTCAGCCATCATTCCCTCATTTGATGCAAATCGGTAATAAATCACAGTAGAAGAGTCAAATAGGACCAAATGTGTAAATACGGGAGGTGTGGCAATAGCTTGTATCCTTATTCGACAAGTTTTGATGTTCTGTTTGCAGATGAAAAACGGAATACCTACTCGAAATTCCGTCTTCAAAAAATATATCGACCTCAACTAGCTTCCTGTTTTTTTTTCGCGCTAATTTTAAAAAAGGAACGTCAGTTGCTTAGGAAGGAGTTTTAAATTAAGAAATAAAAGAAAATATCGAAAAAAGTTTATTTTATTTGACGTTAGTCACGTATTTATTTATCAAGCCGCCCTTGCATAATATTGTATAGCAAAATAGGAAAAAGTGACGAATCACGACCCTATACATTAGTTTCTCGTTCATATCTAGTGAATGTCATCGAGTTAGATTAATTAAGAGACACAAGGCAACTTATAAATATATAATATAATTACAAAGGCGAGCCTTTTTTTTTTTTTGACCCCCCGGTTTTCCCTCTCGCCGGTTGGGTCGGCGCCGTGGGATCAGTGAAAGTTCAACGCGAGCCTACAGTTAGGAGGTGAGGTGCGGGGAATTAATATGATTATAATAAGAACAGGTGGAAAAAATTGACACAAATTCGACGTTGGAACGCACTTGATTGCACCTGGGGAGTTGAATGTCAAAATTTAGGTTCTCTGTAGTACTCAAAGAGAAATATCTCCACAGACTTAAAAATACCTGTGACCAGAAAACTGCCCTGATAGCTTACCACGGCTACGTGTGTTCGACTCTGCGGTATGGAATTGTAGTCTGGGGTAACTCTGTAAACATGGATCGAGTTTTCATACTACAGAAAAAGTGCGTAAGAGCAATGTGTGGTGCAGGTCCACGAGATAGCTGCAAACCTCTATTCATAAATCTAAGAATATTGTCCCTTCCTTCTTTATATATATATGAAACGTGTAATTTTGTCAAAACCCATAAACAATTATTTATTGCCAATACCGCTCCTTTTTTGACCCGTTATCCCAATCGTTTGACCCAACATATACACACTACGACATTGTTCCAAAGGAATTGCTATAACATGTGCATAAAATTATATAATGTATTACCTGACGATATGAAAATGTTACCTACACCTAGATTTAAGAAATTGCTGTTTGACTTGCTTGTGACAAATTGTTTTTATAGTACGCATGAGTTCTTGACATATAAATTTTGAAGATTGTGACCCTCTATGTAAGTTTTAATTGTAATTTAATTGTATTGACATGCGTTCCTATTTTATTATATTTTGTTTTTGTTATTTGTATTCATCATTTCAACTGATTAATTATTTTATTTTTTTCTAATGTAATTTGATATGTAAAGTCAATAATATTTGCATGCCAATTGCTGGCGCAACACGCTGAACTTTTGTATTTGTACATATAATGTAATAATTGTAATCTACTTACCGTGTATGCTTGCAAATAAATATATCTCTATCTATCTCTATCTCCACATAAAAATTGTGCGCAAAATTAGATATTTTAGTCTTAAATAATTCGTTTTAAACTTTTATTTTAACCGGTTTTCAGGATTTTATATGATAAGAAGTACACACTTCAACATACTTTAGACAATGTCCTTAGGTGCGTCGTATATTTTTTGTAAGATCGTTATTTAATAGTAAATACCTAAACCATTTGATCTATCAAAACAGTTTTTACCGCTTCTCCTCCGGCGAGTCGCCTTAAGTTGCGCATGCGTGTAAAGCGACTGTATCGCTATTGCGTCGCAACTGAATCGCTGCAGACGCGCTTCTAAAAGTCACCGTGTGTAATCGCTCTAAGATCCAAAATATAAAATTCATCTTATTATCTTCGTTTATTTCAATTGCGACACAAAACTGTCCCTTTAAGTGAGTAGAGATTGTCCAGGGAAATACTGCCATCTTACCCATTTCTGCTGCCAAGCAGTAATGTTCGTATCACTGCGGTCCGGTTTTGAAAGGTAAGGGTGCTGGTGAAATTACAAGCACAGAGGACATTACCCCTCAGATCTTTGCGATGTAAAGCTCTGAGTGGCACTACAACTGTTATGGACTGGCGTGTTACTTAGCACCAGACGCACTACTTGTTCGATTGCTCGTCCTGTCACTTGATATTATAAAAAAAGTTAATCGAGCATCGTTTTCTATTGTCCTAAATAAATTTCGCTGTCAAATTTATACTTCATAATAACACGATATTAATAAAAAGACATTTTAAATGAGAATATAAACGTAACGACTGGACACCCTTCGTTTATTCAAGATAAGATTTAGTCCGTGTTTATTTGACCTTTGTACGTATATCCATATACAAATTAGGAAGGGGAAGTACTGGCAACTTATCTTACTAAATACTTGGGCTCAGCTGCTTATCCGTGACCCTGAGAATAAACGACCATATCCGGAGAAAATTTGAAGAA